TGGCCATTGCAAATGAGCGAGAGCACTGTAAATCCACAACTGCGTAAAACAACATTCATACCCGTTCTTCCCGTGGTCATCCACGATTTATCATGCAACTGTGCAGGGCTTTAAAAGTTACAAAAAGTAACAAAACAAAACAAAAAACCCACCCCACCTTTTAAATAATAAAAAAAAAATCAATATAAAACCCATCCAGAAGAAAAAACCAGAAGCACAGAGAAAAACGAATGGTGCTTCAGGTTCAGATGCTCCAGTACCTACAGTTGTGAACCAAAACCGTACATTTGAAGTCATTGGTTGAAGGATTCCCTTCTCGGCTGCAGGCAAGCACATATGCAATAAAGCATATGAGTAAAACTAACCCATCGTACAAACATATTCACTCTTGTCGAGTTACACCAATAGGGAATTTAGTCCAGCATATTAATCCTTTCGTTGTTTGATTCAAAAAGAAATTTTAGGTGTCAGTCAAATTCATGTTCTTTAGGCCAATTTTGTTAAATTAACATAAAACGTTTGATAAAATGCAAAGAAAAATTACTATTTTACCAGTTCAAAGATAGTTCAGTCATTTAAGTGAGCATCTTCTTCAGACCTTCACAGAAACGCATTTGCTGTGACTGTAGTGCAATCCAGCCTCTCTTCTGAGCAGCATATACTGTTCCCTTCAAGATCTCCAGAAAGTCTACCCACCTACAGTTTTATAGGTCCTGACATTTCCACAAAGAGACTGTTCTCCAGACTAACAGATTGGGCAAGGCGTTGGTTTCAATTGCCCAGATTTTTTATATTTATACTAAATTTTAATTTTTAATTTTAATCTCTTCACCTCTACTTACAATATTTTTCTTAACTTCTTGAACATAATTGCAGGCCCCAAAGCAAACAATTAGCATTGCTTCCTTCTCTTTTTTTTCTCCTTGTAATTCTGGCTTTGTGCAGTTACTGTTTTATTTGATTTGTTTTCTCAATCTGTTGACCAGCTGGTTTAGTTTTCAGAGACGATTTCTATCAGCATCACAATCTACCTCTGCTGAGAAACTTTCCAAGATTACAGCCTTACAGCCCAAGTCATTAAAAAAAAGTATCACACTACTTCTAGCAAAGCTCCATCCATTTCTAAGCCAAAAAAAAAATAATAAAGTTGCTTCTGTGTTTCATCTACATTTCCTATATTCAGTAAAAACCCACTCCATTCCAGCTCTCTGGACTTTAGTGAAGGCCACGTTTTTAATGTCTTCATAAAATCCCAACATTACTATAATCCTGTCTCTTTGAGCCCTTATTACTCTCTCCAGATTGACAGCAAATGACAGTAACCCTCCCTACCAACCTCTCTTGGCTATAACAAAACAGGAGCTTATTACTTGCTCGCATCACCCAACACCTCTGTTAAGAGCTCAAGACTCAATTCATTTATAACTATTTGTGGAGAGGCCCTTTAGTTGCTTTGTGGAAGGATCTTCTCCTGCCAAATATTTGCTTTTGTAAAAAAGTAATAGACTGCGTTTTGCTCCCTGTGCACAATGGTGTCCGTTGTCAGCGCTGTCCGACAGGAGGATGCAGAGATGTCGGCATTTTGGGGATGCTACTTCAACATAAGCCAAACCTTGGGAGGAGGGACTCAGTATATTCTTGGAGCCTGAAAAACCAGTGTTAGTGTTTGACAAAACAAATGCAGGCCTCTGATTCAGAAAAAATAAATACAAACTTCTTCCCACCCTGATTTCACTATTTGGATTATCGCCTAGATAATCCATTTGAAAACCAAATCCAGCCTAGCAGCTGTCTTGAAAATTGAGTAACCTTGGGTTCAACTGTATTAAAAAACTTCAGCTTCAGGCAAAACTGATGGAACAGCTCATTCGCAGTACTTTCACCAAGCCCTGGCCCTCATTTTGTGTTTTTTTCTGATTACACTTACATTGTGTTACAATTTACCAGCAGCACTGTTGTGTTATAATATATATTACCACGAGCCGACTCTAGGCGTTCAGCTTCATCAACAGCTAAAGACGCATGGCTCAATGCATATTCATTGCCGTATCACCATTTCTCAGCTGTTAAAACAGCTGCATGAATCAGCAAGAAGTTTCACAACCTAAAATAGATGTAACCCTGCAGGAGACTTGGGCTCAATGCGCATTATGATTCTCACTTGTAGGCTGGTAGGAGCCAGGGACGCGGTGCACTTAACTACAGTATTTCTCCACTCAAGCATAGTGCTACCCTAAAGGTGTAAGCTACATTTGGAGCTGAAGTTTGGAGCAGAAGTGGGCTTTTGTTATAAATCTCCTCATCATTGTCACTTATCACGCTTCGGTTCACATCACAGAGTGGTCTTGGGACAGAGGAACCCAATTCCTTTTGATGGAGCTAAACCAGAAACGCACCACTGACTTGCAGCTGCTGGTGGCATGCGGTTCACGGGACCAAACTACAGCTACCGAAGAGCAAACCCTCTTGAAATGGACAGAACATGTTCTGGGTCCTCAGTACAAACTGTTTTCTTCTGCAGATCTGCTCCTCTCAGCCCACACTGCTTGCTAAATGCAGACAGAGCTGAACACGGCCACCTGACTTCTAGAGAAGAGCTAGCACTTCAGGCTAGCCTGTCTTGGAGGCAGGAATTCATGATATAAACCCTGGGGTTGGATGGTTTCTATCCTCAGTGAGCAAAAATATCTCCTTTAAGTTAACAACTCTACCTTCTTTATGAAAAAACCTCATCTAGCAAACATATCATTTTCTGTTTGGAGGCCGTTCTTAGCTCCCCTCCAGGTCCTCAGCTCAAAAAAACATCTAAGAGGGCATGCACAGTTCTTCAGTGAACAAACAAATAAACTGTATTTTGGTTTTATTCATTTGCTGTGCCAAAAAACCTCTAGAGTCACTCACACATACTGAAGCTACTGTACTTCTAATACTTGTTAGTCCTTCCCCCGTTTGGTGTATGTCTACCATGGAAAGATCAAGGGTTACGCCATCCCCACATGCTTTTATCTGTCATTATTAAGTGCATAGATATGCATATGTCACTGACAGAAGAGCTTGGTATTCATTTCAAATTACTGCAATAATAGGGAAAATGGTTGTATTACATTTACACTAAAATAATGTAATGTAAAACACTTAATATGAAAAGGGATTCCTGAACATATTTTTTGCTCAGTATGTTTCCCATACAACCGTTCTACTGCTACTGCAATACCACAATAAATAATATTGTAGATATTGTTGTTAATAATACACAGAAACCACACATCCTCTAGGAATTTCAGTGCATATTTGCTGTGTTTCCTTAGTTGGCGACACAGTCCCTTCCTTCCCCCTCCTTCAGTGCAAAAACAAACTCTACGTGTGACACTTACAGAGTTGTGCCTAATTATATAAATGTACTAATTATACACACTTTTCAAACAGTGATAGACTTCAAACCAGGTATATTTTAAATTGTGCCACTAAGAAAATTTATTTGATGATGGAAATTTCTGTAATATCATATTGCAGTCTCCTACATCGTAATTTTGCTTTCAAGTCAGTATTAATTTAATGACAAATAACAGCAGAGAAGAACAGTGTTGGGAAAGCGAACTGAAAGCTGTAAGATTTACAGTGTGCTGTTGGTCAGCAGATGTTAACAAAAAGGATCAAAAACAATTTGGAAAAGCAATGGATCTAAGGTAAACGATGAGTAGAAAGAAGTACTGCATGACAAATATGGACACCGAACCTTAAGAAACTACTCTGTTAACAAGGATAAACACCTGCAAGACTGACTTATCCCCATGTGTTCAGCTACTCATGAGAAAATATATATGTCATTGAACACTTAATTTACATGCACAGCTATCACACTGCTAGGAACGACTTGCAAATTAGCTACTTGCAGTTCAGAGCATCTCTTTGCATGTAAAATAATGTCACCTGCACGTACAGACCAGCCCTACAAGTGCACCCATAGCTCAGCCCACCAATGTCGTACACACATTTATGAAAACCAAACTGCCACACAAGACTTCAGCACTTGCACCTCCTTTTTTGGATCTTGGTACATGCCTCTGACTGATACACCCTCACTCTTCAAAACACAGTTCTTCGCCTTTAACACTAGATATTCACCAAAACCCCTGGCTCTTCAATGTAACGCTTTAGTGAAGCCATAGTATAAGTGAATGCATGAAAGCTGATACTCTTTAGCACTACTTAATAGTTACCCTGATGTCCTAGGTGAGTAGTTTATTTCCTGTAAGTTATAAGAACGTATAGATCTCTGCTGCAGAATCTGGATCTTGCATTGACAAGACCGCTGGGCAGATCAGACAGTAATTACAATGCAGCAACACTATAGGACACTAATCCCTCTGCCTTGACTTAAATAACACAATAATGTAGCAGGGAAGAGAGAGAATCTACCTTCAGTGAAAAACAGGACTATATATAGAAAGGGCAATAAATGGTCGATCTTCTCTCACACAAATCCTAGTGTCAAAACAAATAGTCTTACGAAGTCACGGGTTGTCACATTTAATCAAAGACATTTATGGAACGGCTTGATAGAAGCATCTTATAAGCAGCAGGTGGGTGATCCGGCTACCAAGCTCAAATATTGATCAGGACTTTCCCACAGTGTTCAAGAACTCCTAGGTCTGCGATTTTGGCTACACCCTTCAGAGTATGGGGTCCAGATACACTTGAAGAGCTTTAAGATCACAGACTTCTGCTCTGGTGCACCCACATAAAAAAATCTCTGGACAAGATTAAAACTATCTCTGCACAAGTAACTATTTTTCTTTCTGCATAGTTATGAAGTGACTCACATACAAAAAAAAAACATTTCACGAAAGCTGGAATTTAAAGCAAATATGATGCAAGTTCAGTATTGGAATGAGGAGCTCCAATATCAACAGAGACAACGCACAGCACAAGAGGTGATTTTGTGCGAATCGGTGATGTCTTTGACCTCCGCTCACAGGTGACACCCTGCCCAATGTTACCTTTTGATATTCTTCCTTGGATCTCAAGGCAGCTTCCATCTGTTCCTGCGAAAACGTGTAGATGGCCGAGCGATACTGCGTGCCAAAGTCATTACCTTGTCGCATTCCTGGGGAGAGAGAAAACACAACACTCCATGAGGATCATCCTCCCTACTCGACTGGGCTGCAGGCATAAATTCAACAGACCTAAATTTAGGACGTTCCATACCCCTGGATTAGCATGGTCTCTTACGTGCATACTCAGTAGGTATTTTTGGGAAATCCAAATCTTTCTTTGGTTAAATAGTCCTGCAGAAATTCCACATTGATACCGCCTTTCAAATGACATGCAAATGAAATGTGAGCATTTTACATTTTGGTACCTCACACAGTAGTCAAATACAGATGTATAACCTTAAATAATCAAGCTGCAGTTACTGTAATCAAGGTATTCTTAAAATATTTATTTTGAACCATGCAAATGGCTACAAAAGAAAGTTGATTTTACCAAGTGCTTAAAAATTTTCTTGTGCTGGATGAATGCATTTTGACGGGAGAAAGGTTCAAAGTACCCTTGGACATAACTAGCTATTCTGCTCTATTCACAAAGCGATGATCTTGCTAAAAGATCAGTATGCATGTATTGCTGAATTAACTCTGAAGTTATCGATTCCTACCATTACCATCACTAGTTACGGACAGAAGGAATGACTTTTATGAAGCGCTTAAATCTGAGCTCCAAAGAGGTCTCTGATAGATAAATATGCTAAGGAGGTTTGGAGAAAATCTGGCTATGCTAGTACTGTTATAGAGTGAGTAACGTTTAGGAACAGCAACCCTTCCACATTTTTTTTTTAATTTTGGAGAAGTAGAAAACAAAGATATATATGTAATACTCTTTGTATCTAATGTTATGAAAACAAACCCCTACTTATACATACTCAGTAACTCCTCAAAATTACACCATAAATCAGCAATTGTGGTACAAGGATTAGCCCCTTTACTGCTGATAGGTATAATCCCTTCAAAAGCCTAATTATGTGAAGTTGCTCATGTACGAATTTCCAAAATATGAGATGGATTCTACCTATGAAACTATGAAATAATGGGCCAAAGCAGGGGGAAGATTACTATCCCCTTAGGTGACTAGCCCTGGCACAGTTTGGCATTATGCAGTCTTAGGCAGCCGTGCTGGCCAAATGCATTGCTGCCTCTCATCGCTATCCATTCCCATCCCCTCCAGCAGCAATACTGCAAGCCAGCTTTGCTGTGGATCATTCCACAAAGTCAAAAGTTAGAGAGGAGCTTTGGCATTAAGAATGAGCTGGAGAAGCAGTTTTGCAACTGCAATTGCAGTTGTGCACTTTCTGTCTTTCATACCTCGTTGCCAAATTCGCGTTCAAGGTTCTAACTTTTTGCTTTGAATAAAATGTGTTAATTTTGAGTTTGGCTGGTGTTGTATGCGAACTTGGGTGAGTGAAAAAGCTGGAGCTTCTGAAGCAGCCTCAGAGAAGCAGACTCTTCCCACATGCCTGCAACCCAAGACAAACTGGAAATCATCAGGATTTGTCCTTTGACTGCCACCAGACTACAGAAGCCCCTTTGAAGATTACCATCGACTCTCAGGACTATGGACATGAAATGGAAAAAAACCTGTACGTCCTGATATCCCCCTAGCAAAGGGCAGAGGGTAGAGAAAAAAACCTGTGATACTGGGGGGAAAAAGATGCTATCAACATAATACTACTCATTAAAACATGATAACTTTCATCTCTCTTGTACTTTCCAAAGATACTGACAAATGGTTTAAAGGTCAAGACAATAAACAATTGAAATCTGGCTGAAATATTTATGAACTAGAAGATGCAGAAATGTTCTCAAAAATGCATTTGGACAAAAATTCCATTTAGTGACCAACGGTACGCATCAAAGGATGTGATTTTGAAAAATGTTACGGAGTTTTCTGATTATTTGGGTTACTTTTTAACTGCTAAAATGTTCCATTATTACACACAGGAACAACAACGACGTTCTTCATCAATACTTAATAGTGTGGTCTGCAAGGGAGAGAATATTTTGTTTATTTCTTTGCAAGTTATTTCAGGGTGATAGGGAGCTCTTGTAAAGCCAGTGCTACTGAATAGTTAAGCATAAAATGAACACAGGCCAGTAAAGCATTAGTTTTGCCAGGATATGCTAATGCTGATTGATGCTTGAGCTTAAGCATTAGCATTCTACAAATCTATTTATTGCTTAACAAACTACTTAACAACCGACTAGGGAGTAGATTACAAAAATCTCTATAAATGGAGGATCACTATATAGTACGCCAGTTTCTAGCATGCGCTTCAAGAGCACGGGTTTAGTATGAGCTCAGGTGCGCAGTGCTCTGAGTAAGAAGGCAAACAAGATTATTTAATATATGTATGTGCACCGTTACATAGTAATAGGGAAGTGGTCAGCCTAATTAATTTAATGAAGGGAAGGTTAAGAGGAGAACTGATTTACAAACACATACATAGGTAGGACAACCGAAAGTCAAAGTACATAAAATCCAGGTGGGAAATAAGGCAAAATTCAAACCGTGAAGACATTTCTCATGGGTACAATGCACCTAAAGCCACATCCCTTTCCTGAGGGCTTCACATCTAGGATATATATTTTCCCCAAAGACATACCAAAGCTCAAAGAGCTGTATGAGGTCAGTGATGAAATGATGAAGTTAAGGAGGTCAGACTGTGAGATAATAATGGCCTCTCCGAGAACTCAAGTGTTGGCTTGCACTGTTAAACCATCCACGAGCTATGAAGAAGACTGAACAGGTATTGTAAGTATTACCCACAATGTGTAGCTTTAATGTGATCAATCATCTAAGCCAAAATGTCAGTTAATTTTTCTTGTTACTTAAATTAATTTGTACCTAAATCTCCCACAATAAGTAGCTAATACATTATCTAAGCCACAAAGACTATGAGATAATAAAACAAAATAAATTGTGTACAGACATAATCAATTGCCACTCTTGATGCTGTTATTTGTAATGTGCCTCACATGTAGAAACTTACTTCTCAAGGGTCCATCACCGATTTTTTAAAACCCTCTGGCAAGTCTTACTTGTTGAGCTTCACTAACTCAATGAGTAGCAAACAAGGCAAGAAATTCAATTTATTAAACAACTGTGGTAGGATGATTGAGCTTAACAATCTTCTCTTTGTCAGAAAGAAAGTCTACTAAATAAAAAATCATCTCTGCCTGGCTATCTAAAAACTCCATAATGTCATCTGTTGTTAACTTTCCTTGCATTTCTGAAATGTCTGTCTTATTTTGTTTACCATGACACTCTGTCTCTCTCTGTTAACATAACACCACAGTTACACACATTAGGCTTCAGATAAGAAAGAGAAAACACGAATAATTAATTTAATAAAGATGGTAGATGTGTTGGAAGATACTGTGTAGTGCTAAATCAAAAGCCATTCTTGCAAAGGATTATCAACATGGCTGCCATTGATTCTAGCTACTCTATATGCACATTAGACTCTGAAAAAGTTTTCTGCTCAGACAACGAATGAACCTCTGATCGTCTGTGCACCAAAATGGTTCCACTGAAGTCAAGAAATTTGTTTTACGTTTATATTAATACAACTAATTTCACAAATAATCTCCACGGGCTTCAAGTCATTTACCTTGCCTACAAGGTCCCACATAATTAAAGAGGACTTAAACATATTTGTTAAACACCCTTCAGAACAGTATCTATTGCAAACTGGAATCAGACATTGTAAAAACATTGAGATTTAGAAGTACTTTGAATGACCACTACCTTTGTTACATTTTCATAGACAAATGAACAAAGCTCTTAGCATTATGGATTGGATGGATTAAAGCAATATTTATTATCACTGATGGATGCATTTCAGGATCAGATTTCCCACAAAAATTCTCTACAAATAATTTTATCAGAATAAGACATTTGCACTCAAGAAAAAGGAAGGTGCTTTTTTTTTCATCTGTGCCAAACTCCATTTTTGAGAGACACATACGATTTTGCTTTAGTTCCAAATCAAACCAGTGATTCAGGTTTGTCTAAATCTTCACTACTGAAAGAAGGAATAATTCCTACAGAACATCTTCATTGCAGCTGGATCTTCTTGGCAGGGAAATGCTGGTTGCCTACAACTGTTCTTCTGCTAGATGTCTTAAAGTCACTCTGTGCAAAGCCTGCCAATTTAGGGACAGAATTTAGGGTAAAGCCAGGAGATTACTCTTTTCCTCAAGGATATAATATATGGGTAAATCTGTCAGTAGAGCCTGAACCACCTTTTCATCCTAGGCTGAGATGATAACCAGGTTCCTTCATAAAGCTGTTAACAAAATACATTAACACTGAGGAATGAGATCTCTGACAAGAAGAAAGACCTTCACCAACTCTTTCAGAAGCTTTGCACATAATGAAACAATACAGCTGTAATGACCAGCAGATACACTTTGAGTGATCTCAAGACCATTTCTCACCAAGAGGTAGTTTGAGGAAAAGCTCCCAGAGGCCTGAAAGCAGAATGTCATCTTACATGCCCCATCAGACCTGCTCCACTTTGTCACAAAGGTGTATCCAGAGTACTCGTTCCCAGCGTTGATCAGAATTGCTGTAACTAGAGACAACCAGGCAGTTTCAAGGGCTACCCAATGTCCCTGCTGTGATGCAGAGGAAGCCAAAACCTGGGTGATGTACCTGATTTGTATGTGGTGTAAGAAGATCCAAAGCAGAGGCAAATCCTTGAGCTTCACTTCAGGTCCTCCAAGATTCTGACACCAGAACCCTCTTCGCTAGACCAGGATTTGCAAGATCACCCCATTTTATCTGGTTGTACTTCACTAACATTAATGGTGCAGACAGTTACTGGCAAAAAGGTGAATATCTGTCTCCCTGACCAGATGATCAGGAACACCTCCAACAGTAACAGGAACAAATATACCCTGGAGTCAAAAGGCTGGCACTTGCTGTTGATGCCTGAAACAAAGAAAATTGGCTGCTATGCTGAGAACAGCCATAAAATCTCTTATCAAAGAGATGTTTAGATAGAGAGGCTGATTTTAAAACTGATAGAAAAGCACAGAAATTGCACCT